TATATATATATATATATATATATATATATATATATATATATAATGTGTGTAATAAAGAAAATACCATAAAATGTCTCAATTGGCTATAGTGTTTTAAAATGCGGGATGTGGCCAAAAGCGGTGGGGCGGCTGATGCAGCAATGCGGCTTGATGCGGTCCGGATGCGGGTGCATCCGACGATGCGGTCAATAAATATAAAAAAATTCTAAAAAATCTAAAAATTAGGTTAATGCATAGAAAACTATATGGAGGTGATATATGTGATAGTAGGTATTTTAGTTTAATGATTAACTCCAAAAATATTGGTTGTCGAAGATTTTGTATCCACTATCCCCTGATAAAAACTAGAAACTTGAAACTAGCTTCATAAAACATTCAACAATCAACAACCATAAGCACAAATTTGCAACCGTAAACTTTAAAGTTACAAAATAAAGATACTACAAACTAAAAGTCCATGTCTCCCTGAAGATTAAAGAGTTTTGAAGTCAACCTCAAGAAGAGTTAATAGTTAATACGATCATCTATTCATCATAGAAGTCATCTTGAAAGACAATTTGAAGTCAATTTTTCAAATATTAATCAGAGAAGTCATCTTGAGAGTCGTCACAAATTCACCTAAACTTCCCCAAATCAACGACCAAAAGGTTCAAATCAAGATCCAAGCATCAAACAATCCCCAAATCCAAGATCTCAATGAAAAACAATTTCTGCCTATTATTATTATTTTTTGTTCGATTTGATCCCAAAAAAGCCACAAAAGTAGCTGTAAATGCTCGTTTAGGAGGTTTAATACCCCCAAACTATTTCCCCCAAGTTATAATGGTAAAAAATACCATTTTGCCCATCCCCGAGGGGCACAATCGAAAATAACATCGCGGAACAGTATGTAGCCAGATGCGTTATGATGCGCTATGCGGCTCTGATGCGGCGCATATGCGCCCATATACCTCCAAACCGCATATGCGGTCTTTTCCGATGCGGTGCCCACCACATACCGCCTGATGCGGCCACATATGCGGCGATGAGGCCACATATGCGACTATGCGGCCACATATGCGACGATGCAGCCGCATTTTAAAACACTGATTGGTTATCATGTGCTTTTATTTTACGAGAGGTTTCCCAGAGCCACTTTTTTAAAGCACCCTAGTTTTGACTTTACATTGAATATAATATGTAATTGTAGGACAGCTAAGGTTTAGCAGCTTAGTTTGTTATTTCCAATTCTTCTTTTAAAGAGCTCTATATTTAGGTACCTTTTTTAAAAGTTAAAAGAAAAGCAAAATAATGGGGGATTCATGCCTTGACCTTGGGCTTCTAAGGTGCAAAGTCTAGCCAACATGTTGTGTTGAGCCACTTATGACAATATTTTGACAAATATATATTAAATATTTTATTATTTATTTTTTATTATGTATTTTTCCGGATCGCCAATCCAGACAATCCGAATTCTTGATTCAGCCGATCTTGATTGGGATTGTTTGGTGGGGGATTTACCCCACTAATCCATTTTTTGAAACACTGGTTCTAACTATTTATACTTCTATTGGTTTTCCCCTCTGATATGGCAGGAAGAGTTCTTAGGACCCTTTAGTTGGTTAAAGCGACACCAGCTTTTTTTCCCTGGCATAAACAAGTTGCCTCATCTAAACCTTCAACTAAGTAGTAGCTGCCTAAAACTGATTGAGGAGCCCGCAACGGACAAGTATGTGATAAACTATTGGGTTTGTACGCCTGAGAAATCAACTAACTTCAAGTTCAGCAAATTTGAATTTCCTTACGAAGGTTCATATGCAAACCTCCTTTTGCTTGAGAGACTCTTGAAACCTTCACAGGCATCGGCTGGAACTTCGTAAAATTTGAGGACAAAGGTTTCTTTGATGTTAACAACAAATTTAATCTTGCTGGTAATTTTTCACAATAAGCTGTTTTGGATTCATGCTCCCTTCATCTTCTTTTTAAAATGAACATGTGAGTTCTTTTAATGAAAATGCATGGAGATGAGCATTTTTCTATTAGTGTGGGTCTTTGGGCTTGTTTCTACTGGTAATCATTCTTGGTAACGTGTAAATCTCTTCCTTGTAGTTAGTGGTTTGGAGATCTTTTCCTCAACGTTGGGCTTGTGACTCACACTTTGGAATTAAAAAAATAGTTATTCTTTTGAAGATGCATCAGATAAGCTTTTCAGGATTGACCTGTCTTAAATATTCTGAACTAAAATAGATGATCTGTTGCTTAGAACTTTTTTCTCTTAAATAGTCTGAACTGGCATGGTGGTCCTTTGCGCTAACATCTAATCTGTGCAGCTAAATCTAAAACTGTTTCATAGAAGCTTGGATTTAAACCTGTTGAGTTTAGAATATTGGTCCTTGTGCCCTAAGTGCCAATCCTAGATGCTAAAGATCTAAACCCTGAGAATAGTAGCACTAGTTGCCTCTCTGGAGTTGGAAGTGTCCTATTAGTTATCTAGATCAGGGAAGAGCTACTTTTTCTTATTGAAATGTATACAAAGAGATCATTTGCTTTTAGTATAAAGAGGTCATAATAACTGTTATCAGTTGGATTTTAAATTGGGTGGCTGTATATGTATCCTTGATTAGGCTCAATTCGAAAAAAATTCTCGAACTTTGTCATATACCCTAATAGTCCAATTTGACATCTGATAGCTAGGGGGCAGTTGTGACCTTCTTGTAACAAAGGTAAATAGTCCCATACCATACAATCCCTTTTCTTATTCTTTAGTTTGCTTCTATTCGTTTTAGTTCATTACCTGGTCTACAATCCAATTCTTTAGGAATAGATTACAAAATTAACGCAATACAGCTTAGCAAAGTTACATTTAAACTAAGATCCAATAACATCATCATCATCAGAGCCTTTTTCTAACTATTTGGGGTCCATGAATGCTGGTCCGGCATTTTACTCTATCAAGATCCATGGTAATATAATTATCATCATCGTTAAAGTCTTTTCCCAACTACCCTATGAAGATCCATAGTAACATCTGATTCATAAATTGGGATCTCAAGCACAAGTATAGGGTCTTCAATTTAATTCCTTCTACAATGACTGCTATCAATAATAGGGCTTCAGCCCATAGTTCAACCTGAAGACAGATACTGCAAGCCTAAAGTCACAGGCTCGACTTTGAATTACCTACCCCCCCATAAATAATAATATTGATGTTTAAATTTTTTATATTGACTAACACTAATTATATTCATTTTTAGGCTTGAAACCTTTTAAAATAATTCATAAAATGATTGAACTACACTTGAGCCTTTGCTGCAGTAGGTGACCACAGTGCTCACTAAGCTTTTTCCATTATGACCAGAAAAAGCTTAAGCCAAAGCTGCACAATGATCCTAGAGAGCTGCACCTTGTATGGTTGTTATTATTAGTTTCCAATGCTCGAGTTTAAAATAAATAAAAAGGAGAATGGCATAAAAAAGAATAGAAAGGAGGATGGCTCTTTCTCTTCTCTTCAAACATGATACAGCTAAGGATCTCTAGCTCCTGCTAACTTTCTTTGCTGCTTGTCTTTTTCCTAATGATTCAAACCAGAAATCTTCCCTCAAGCTCTAAAGAAAATTTCCTTCTCTATGATGTACTCCTGAATTTCAATGCCTGTGTTGTGCGCCACCTTGTAATCTCAAAAGAACCTTGTCGCCGATTTTGAATGTTGTTACAGGTATAGCTGACATATCATGCTTGCCAACTACACAAATACGGCCGGTCCACTAAAGGCAAATAGAAATCCAAATGGAACAGCTGTGTGTGTGTGCACATGCGTGTACGCCTATGGGAGCACACATGCATGCTCAACTTTACTCTTAATGGAAACCCAAATGGTAAAACACAGAGTCAACCAATGCTGGAATGGACATACTAGACTAACAGCTTCGGCATTCTGTAAGAGGACGCTGTATTTGGTTTTCTGAATCATCTATATGCAACTATCCAATGCAGGCTATCAGATTCTGATGGTCTGATAATACCATTTACAATCCGTTTCATATAAATAGTTCATCAGAGTTTACAAGAAGAATGAGAAGTGGTTGAGTAAAACAAGTGAAAAAGCCAGACGCAATTAATGTGATAGTCAATAACCATGCTGCTTAATAAGTAGCAGCTACCAAGAATTCACACATTCAAAGAACTACAAAACTAAGGGAATCTCACTTCCAGTTTCTCTTCAAAACGAACACCAACCGGCAGAAGCATATGTGGATGAGCGGGTGCTCTTCTAGGTTTTTAGAGGCATGAGGAGCATTAATGAGGTGAAGCTTGAATTCAGAAAGGGCAATAGGTTTTGGGTTGGGGAGTGTGCAAAAAGTGCAGTTTTGGAAGGACTATCTTTAAAGAAATGACAATGCAGTTTTGGATGAGCGGGTGCTCTTCTAGGGTTTCAGAGGAATGAGGAGCTATTAGTGACGTGAAGCTTGAATTCAGAAAGGGGAATAGGTTTTGGGTTGGGGAGTGAGCAAAAAGTGCTGTTTTGGAGGGACTATCTTTTAAAGAAATGACAATGCATATAACTGAGTGTGATGCAATTTGTAAATTCTGAAGTAAAGAGCATTGTGTCAACCCATTTCTCAATAAAAAAAATCAATATACCATATCTTGTGTCTAGGTTTCCTAAATGATCTGTGTGTAATATACTTTGCATAATACTCTCTCTCACTTTCTGAACAATCCAGCAGTAAACATACGTTGGCTTCCATAAAAAGAAGCGGTGTAGACTCGATCTTAACCCTCCCAACAACTGCTGTACTTTGTCTGAATTCAGATAAACCATAAAGACTCTTTACCTGACTGCAATTTTGAAAGCTAACAGGTCTTCCCTTCTGGAACTGCAAACGTAACCATGCACAAGACCCTACAATGATATGAAGCATCTCAATAACTGATGTTTTGCAATAATTTAGCTAAGTAATAGCTGATTATTACCATCATCATCATCATCGTTATTTCCAAAATAAATTTTCCATCGAGGTTTGATGTTTGATTTTGTTTTATGTCATAATTGCATTTTCCAGTGAAGTTATGATGCGTGGTATTGCTTTACGTTTTAAAACTGCAACCTTATGCAAATTGTATTGTTGTATAGTATTTACATATGATTCCAAGACCTATCAGACTAATTGAAAGTTGATCTGTCTAAGATCGTGTCTAAACTGACGATTTGAAGAGTCCAAAGAGGTGGATCCTATCAAATTCAGATCTACATGGAAATCAACCTTAAAATATCTATTCTTTGCAAATCCGCGGCTAGGGATGCCACTGGGCAGCGGTCGGTCTGGTCTGGCCTGGCCTGCGCCTTCGGCCTAGAAGTGTGTTTTGGGCTGGCCCAAATATACCTGGCCCCGGCCCAATTAGAAGGTTTTTTTTTTTAAGTCTCTCTTCAAACATTTTTTGTTTGTGAGCCAAAAAAAAAAAATTATTTTTCTACAAAAGATTATGCCAAAATAGTTTGTAAAAAAAAGTTAAAAGCCTAGAAAGATGTCGGCCAACGAAAAGCATTGGGAAGAGGGTGGGGACCTGCGTTCACTAACCCAACTCATTTTCCACCCCGACCGTCCCCTTCTCTCTATAAAAATCCATTCAATCTCTATCTCCAAAAACAAGGTTTCTGACCCCTGCCCCTTTCTCCTTCTCTCTCTAAGAACTCATTTTCTCTCTCTAAACAAACTCATTTTTGCAAACTTTTTTCTCTCTCCAAAACCCATTTTTTGGCTCCAGTTTTGTTCTCCAGAGTGGCAGAGAAAGCCCTCTCCACAGTGGCAGAGAAAGCCTGCCATTGATGTGAAAATGGTTTCCTCATTGAGTCACCAATGGTTCACTCTCTCTCTGTCTACCACCTCTTCTTGTATCTCTTTCCTGTCTACCATATTTCTCTCTCTGACGACCTTTTCTCGTGTCTCCTCCGTCTACCATCTCTCACTTTCTCTCGCTCCTCCCCCACTTTTCTTTGGCTTTTCGGGCTGGCGTGGCAAAAGTCCGACCTAGCCCATATCCTAGCCATGGCCCGAGGCCGTATTTGGATCGGAGTGCTGGCCCTGCCCCTTATCTGCGGCCGAGCCGGTTTAGGCAAGGAGAAATCCAAAAAAAACAGAAACAAGAAGAACATAAATAAAGAGGAAACAATGGAGATCTAATGAAAGAATAAAGATGAATATCAATGAAAATAAAACAAATAATAATTTGAAAAAGGCATACAATGAGATCATTTATCTTTGGTACAAAGTTGTCATAATTAATCTTGACTATTAGATGTGAAATTAGGTGGTCAGATTTAGGGCATAATTAATCTTGACTATTAGATGTGAAATTAGGTGGTCAGATTTAGGGCATGTTTGGTTCGTGCGTAAATATTTTATGAGAAACATTTTTACGTGAAAATTGTGTATCATATGTTTGTTTGGTGTAGTGTTCTAAAAGTCGTCGAGTCGGTACGGAATTGGCCGATTCGAACGGGGAATTGGTCATTCCATGTAAGTTCAAATCTGCTGATTCCGTATCGATTCTTTTGTAAAACGGAGAATCACCCGGTTCTAGAGAAGAAAGTTGTGTATCATATGTTTGTTTGGTGTTGTGTTTTAAAAGTCGTCGAGTGGGCACGGAATCGGCCGATTTGAATGGGGAATCGGTCATCCCGTGTCGATTCTTTTGTAAGACGGAGAATTGCCCGATTCTAGAGAAAGAATCGCCCGGTTCTAAAGAAGAACCAGCGATTCTGTAGGGCATGACGACTCTGTAATTTTTTGCAGCGATAAAAAAGAGAAGAACCGGCGATTATGTAGGGCACTTTTGTAATGTTTTGCGGCGATTCTATGGGGCACTTTTATAACTTTTTGGCTTAAAATGAACATTTACTGTTAAACACCACGTGTCCCTTGTCATAGGTCCCACACTACTGCATGCGTTCCACACGCGAATGGTAACGTTAGCAAAATAGTATTTATTCTCACATGACTTTTTCTGTGGGTTCGATGTAGGATAATTGTGGTAAGATAATAGCGGAGAAAGAGATATAATATAATTATTAAGTGTCCTACCAATATCACAAATGAATGTTTCACGTGGTAGTTAGCGTGCCGTTTATTGCTTTGGAGGTCGTGGGATAGCTAGTTTCCATCCTTCCCTTACAAACAAATAAAAATTTTCCTTTACAAAATAATTTTTTTATACAAAAAAATAAAAAGTTTTTTGTAAAAACAAGTATGGTTTTTATAAAAAGAAGAAAAAAAAAGAAGAAGTGATACAACACAATTTCTTTTTGTTGTAAAAAAAAATAAAAGTATAAAAGTTTATTGCAAAAAAAATATATATATAAGGTTCTTGTCAAAAAAAAAGAAAGAAAGAATGTAATACAATAAAAGTTCTTTTTCTTGTTAAAAAATAAAAGTTTATTTTAAAAAAAATATAAGGATCTTGTCAAAAAAATAAAAAAAAGTATTACAACAAGTATTTCTTGTAAAAAAAAAAAGTTCTTGTTAAAAAAAAAAAGTAATACGACAAGCATTTCTTGTAAAAATAAATAAATAAAAGATTATTGTCATAAGAAATAAAAGGTTTTTGTCAAAAAAAAAAAATCAAAGGTAATACAACAAGTATTTCTTGTCAAAAAAATAAAAGGTTGGATTTGTTATTATTTATATAATAAAATAATTATAAAATATGAACCAACAATTTCAATTTCAGTATATAATGTTTTCCACCAATTCGAGATTTTGGTGGCCATTTCTCATCGATTTAAACCATTATTTATTGTAGTCCATGTATGATTATATACTTCATCCATGGTAATTCTATGATTTTTCTTTTTCCCCAGTGCCTGACCCCACCCCCTGACCCTGCACTCTGACCCCTACCCCCTAACCCCATGCCTATAGATATATAAACAGTGCGGGGTTGTTGAGATTCAAAGGGCGGGTTTGTGTTCCTATAGATATATAAACATATATATAAACATAGATAGATATATAAACATATAAAGGTATATAGATATATAGATATAAGGGGCAACCGACGCCCAGTTTGTCCTCAATGTGGATCGGGGAACCATACGGCGACAGAATGCTTCATAAAGACCATGCGGTAAAGTGGGCCATTTAATTAAGGACTGCTCTGTCAAAGGATCAGATGACAGACCAAAAGTTCAAAGGCAGGTGTTTACCCTGACCGAGCAAGAAGCCATCAACCTCTGTGATTCGAGGTACACTTTCTATGTGTGGAATTGAAGCAAGAGTTTTAATTGATCTTGGTTCTTCCCATTCATTTGTTGCACCACCCTTTGCATGACATTCGAATGTTAAACCTGTACGACTTGTTTGGACTTTGATAGTATATACGCCTATGAGGGAATCAAAAGAAACTGATATGATATATAAACAATGTGAGATTGTGATTGAAGGGCATTTGTTGCCTGTAGATTTGATACTTTTGGATATTCAGGATTTTGATATTATTTTGGGTATGGATTGGTTGCCTACCCATTATGCTACAGTGAGCTGTTTTGATAAAACTGTAACTTTTAGATGCCCGGATCAACCTGAACTACATTTTAAGGGCATTAAGGATGTTTCTCCTTTACACATCATCTCTGCCCTTCGGGCCTTTCGACTGTTGGTCAAAAGATGTGTTGGGATTTTTGGCTTATGTAGTAAAAAATCGGGGTGTTCAGTTTAAATTGGAAGAGATACCGGTAGAGGTCTTCCCCCAAGAGTTAACTTCTCTGCCCCCGGCTAGAGAGATTAAATTTGAAATAGAGGTGGCCGCTGGTACTACTCCTATCTAGGGCACCTTATAGGATGGCCCCAACTGAGTTAAAAGAACTGAAGGAATAGTTGCAGGAATTGTTGGATAGGGGGTTCATCCGACCTAGCGTGTCGCCAAGGGGCGTACCAGTTATATTTGTGAAATTTTAACTGTCACGACTTCGCCACCTTACCCTTGCCAAAGAGCGACAGAGTGCGGGGTCGCGGAGGTCGCGAACGTCACTGAGGTGGGAGTGGCTCAACGCATGAAAACGCAGAATCAGGAGCAAACCATGAAAGAAAACTAGAATAAAATCATTCATTAAACAAATAACAATTCAAAAGTATAGCCATCTCGTTTATCCAATATTAAAAAGTCGTTATAATTTCTTCTTGGGACTACTGGCCCAAAATACACAAAATACGGTACACCACACAATACCGAGACATCCAAAACATATAATGAAAGTCTTCAAAGGACAACTTTTTAACCTCTCGACTTCAAGCTTCAAATCCCCCAAAGGTCACCCACCTTAAGTACATGTGTCAACACTCTTCACTCTACAGTTATGAAAATAAGATGGAATGAGCTAACAGCTCAGTAAGCAGATCTACACCATTGCATTCTAACTAGTGTGATAGTGATAACAAATACGCAACACACATATACGTACATATACACATGCATCAAATAATCCCTCAACATGCTTCTCAGCATTCC